CAATATTGAACCTTTAATCACATTGGTAGCTTTACCTATGGTTAGGTTTACCTAGGTAATGAATTTGATCATTTGCTGGGTAGCTCTATGACTTGTATTTTGGATTTCATATACTATGGGAAGCTTGTCTATGAAAATCTTCTATTCCTTTTTGTTGTATTTGGTCTTTTTAGTTCTAATGTTACTCTTTCTTAATAGGTGTTACATAACACACAGCTTATTTTATCCATGACCACTCAGGACTTGAATTTCAATTATTTGACAGAAAAAGGTCTTTGTCTTTAGTTCAGGGTAGATACATTTGTCAGACATTTGTTTCAGCTGGCAATATTTGATTTAGTGTTATTTCTACAAGTTGATTTTTAGGATACCAGTTCAGCCACTTACCAGTAATCTGGTTTGTGTTGACCATTCATTACAAGTAAAAAACAGGGGGGTTGTTTGGTTTGGTTTTAGTTTTATAATATCCTTCCAATCTATACCAGTTCTTCATTATTTCCTAGTTCTTCCTATTACATTTTTATAAAACTACTAGCCTTGCTATCTAAATGAATGTTTTTTGTTACCTGTATTGTAAACTATTCTTCTGGACCACCCCCCATGCTGTAAGCTAAACTTCAAATGATTGCTGGCATTGGCAATTTTTTCAAGGTTTTTTGTAAATCTAATGAACATGGAGTAAGTGTTCTACCTTCTTTATACAATATAATAGTAAGTTCTCAGCAATCAAGAGAACTTACTATTATATGACTTTGGAGATCAGCCAGGAAACTGTTAACTGTAGTAGTACTATTAAATCTGACTTCCCACCCTTTTGGAAACAGATAGTTTGCACCCAGCATTTTCAAATGCTGCTTATGAAAGTGGCATTCAATACATTGGCCTAGAATTTCTCTGTTCTACACTTCTGCAACTAGCATATAGATAAATCATAAACAAATGCTTCTAACAGAAGTGAAAGATCCTATTTTATTCCCCCATGGCTCTTTATGTATGTAATACTAGAACTGAGAATGAGTGACAGTCTTCTTCAGTGACAGCTGAGATCCATCTTTCTACCATAACTTTCACAAAGTGATGGAGCAACAACATTTTAAAAGCCTCCCCAGTTTTTCTGCAACCAAAAGAAAGCACATCTTCAAGATTTGGCCGGGGGCAGGGGGGGAAGTACCAGAGACAGTTCTTATATTTAAACTATCTGAATTTATAATTTCATCACTGCAGAGTTATGGCCATGATGCAAGTGGTATGAATACTGAAATAAGACACCAGAGAACTGGCATTTTGACTGCAGGATATTAGGATATTTTCTTTCTAAAGACCATTTTTGCTTCCTCCATTCTCCATTGAACTCCAGCCAAACAACTACAGCCATCACATAACAGAAGTGAATAAGTTAACAAATACCATTTTGTTTTTTCATCAATATTCATTCATAGGTGATAGGGAATTCCCATGCTGACAGTCATGAAAGAAATACTCACTTTCTTGTTTGCCTGAAGTTCTTATGATAAAAAAAAAAAAAATCAGCACATGTTTTTGATGTGTATACACTGCAGGTCAAGCTTTGGTTCCACAGACCCTAAAAGCATCATGCACCTATGCAGATTCCTAGTACACCTGTTGCACATGTTTACATCCAGCTGAGTCAAGTATACCCGGGAAAGTGAATTTAAAATACATGCTAACAAATGCCTAAAGAATCTATTTTCACATTGCTGTAAATCTTTCTGATTTCAGTGGAGTTTTTCCTGATTTCCACTGGCATGTGAAAAGTGAAAGACCATAAGGTTTGACTCTACAAATTAAACAAAAAGAAAGGTTCATGCACTTGGTCATATCAATGACACAACTGGATCAAGACAGAGAGATATTGCCTTGAGGACAGCAACAGCAACAACAAAACCCTAGAGATAACTACACTGGATTATATGCAGCTGTGGAGTAGAAAACACAAGGGAAGGTGATGACAGGAGAGTTCCTGCTAATGCTAAGCCCTCAATCATAACTTGGATAGCAAAGAAAATAATTAAATTGGAGTCATGAAAATTGCAATACAAAAAAGTAACCTGAGGTCAAAGCAGCATAATTTAGGTTTAGATCAAATCTTGGTAAAGAATGAAGCTGATATCAAGAAACAGGTCTTTCACTGAGCAGAGGAAGGTGAAAAATCCGGACTGGTATGAGGAAAAAGGCATCCAAGTGTTTTTTTGTTTGTTTGTTTAGTTTAGTTTTTTTCTGTTTGTTTTGTTATATTTTATTTTGCTTTGCTTTTTAAAGCAGCCTTGGCTGAAGCAAGACAGCCATTGCTAGATCTTTGGTGCTATTTAATGAGGAACAGTATTAAACCTAAACAGTACTGAATCAGAAGGCTATGATACCTAGGAGTGTGTCTAAACGAGCCTGCATGTGCAGAGGCACACATTTCCTGTGGGACAGGTAGCAGTGGCACATATTTTTGAGATATATATATATATATATTTATACTATATATATATAGTATAGATATATACTATATATATAGTGTATATATATATACACACACACACTATACTATATATAGTATATATATATAGACAAATGTTGATGCCTATGATTTCTTAGACTCAGTAGATATACTGGGGCGGGGGCGGGGAGGGAGGGGGGAGCATAAAGTACAGTTAGAATCATAGAATCACAGAAAATTAGGGTTGGAATGTAGTATGAATTTTTGCATATTAGTTATTACGTTTCAATGATAATAGTATTGAATTGATCAAACTCTATGATTGAATGAACAGCTAAAACTCCATTTTGTGCTTGTTCCCTCCTTGACATAGGTAGATGAACTTTGTGTGCCCTGTGTAGGTGTCTGTGTGAGAGGGTGAATGGTGAAAGAATGGTAACTATTTGCATTAAAATAGAAGAAGATTTAACTGATTATACAAGCAACAAGGTGCCAATGTATAAGTTACCAGACAGTAAACTAATTAAGCTAATTAATGGATATCTGAAGAACTGGTCTGCAATCAAGTTCAAAGAAGATAGTGAGGAGAAGGAATTCTGCATATCTTGCCTGCCATTTGAACTACACACAATGCTTCAAGAACATAATGCTTCAAGGCAAAGATGCCAACTACACAATGACTGGTATTACCTCATCGAAGATACACTAGAATGACCTAAAGACTGAGCATGGAAAAACTCCAAGGCTGAACGAAGTCTTGAAATCCCTATAAAAGTGGGATGCAGACAAGCCAAGATGCGGAATCCACTCTATGCAACCTCATGGAGCACAGGCATGCATGTCTGTTCTTTCCCCACTCCTATCATCCTCAATAAGCCTGGACCCAGCCATCCAGTGCTAATATTGAGTAACATCTGCTGGTAACTATAACATCTTATTGGAGGTTTTTTTTTTCTGTTTGTCTGTGTATGTCTGTTTGTATGTATGTATGCTTGTGTATGTCTGCTTGTATGACTGGTGTGTCCAAGCTTATGTATCTGCTTCATGTAATCAATAAACACAGCATTTTGCCATATTCTTCTTTTTAAGGTCTTGCTCTTAATTTGAGCTATTGGCAATTTTAAGTAACAGGAAGGGACCTTGGGAGGCCATCCAGTGCAACCACGTGTTCAAAGCAGGGCCAGCCCCAACTCCCTCATCCCAGCCAAGGCTTTGTCTAGCTGGGTCTTAAAACTCTTGAAAAATAGAGATTCCACAGTCTCTCTGGGTAATCTATTCCAGTGCTTTACTACCCTCCTAGTGAGACACGTTTTCCTAATATCCAAATTAAGCTTCCTTTGCTCCAACTTGAGACCACTGCTCCTTGTTCTATCATCTGTCACCACTGAGAACAGTGTGGCTCCATCTTCTTTGGAACCCCCCTTCAAGTAGTTGAAGGCTGCAATTTAATCCCCCCTCAGTATTCTCCTCTCCAGACTAAATAAACCCAGTTCCTTAAGCCTCTCCTCAGAAGTCATGTGCCCCAGCCACCAACCTTTTTCATTGCCCTCTATGGACTCTCTCCAATCTGTCCACATCCTTTCTGTAGTAGAGGGGGTGGGGGAGGAGAGGGGGAGTGCAAAACTGGACACAGTACTCCAGATGTGGCCTCACTAGTGCCAAAGAGAGGGGAATAATCACTTACCTTGATCAGCTGGAAACACTCCTATTAATGCAGCCCAGTATGCCATTAGCCTTCTTTGCAAAAAGGGCACACTGTTGGCTCATATTCAGCTTATTGTCTACTGTAACCCCCAGGTCCTTTTCTTCAGAGCTGCTGCTGAGCCAGTTGGTCCGCAGCCTGTACCTGTGTATGGGGCTGTTTCATCCTAAATGCAAGACTTTGCACTTCTCCTTATGGAACCTCATGAGATTTCTTTTGGTCCAATCTCCAATTTGTTGAAGTCTTTCTCAATCCTAACTCTACCCTCCAGTGTATCTACTTCTCCCCCATCTTGGTGTCAGCAGCAAACTTTTTGAGGGTGCACTCTGTGCCATCTTCCAGGTTGTTGATGAAGATATTGAACAAAACTGGTCCCAGGGCCAACCCCTGGGGCACTCCACTTGCTACTGACTGCCAGCTAGATATTGAGCAATTGATTACTACCCTTTAAGCCTGATGATCCAGCCAGCTTTCAATAAGTTTTCTATACCCCTTTGTACCCGCCTCCACTCTAATAGGTGTTCCTGCGCCGCCTTCGCCTGAGCCCTAGATCTTGCGGGCCCCGGGCTTACGGGTGGACCCCAGAGGCTACCCCTGCTGATGTCAGGAGGACCCCTGAACTCGCGTGCCACGACTTTTAATGTAACTTCAGTGGGGGGTCTTTCCTTGGGGTATCCACCAGAGTTGGCATGGTCCCCGGCGGGTAGTCTTGGGGCTCCGTCCTCCCCTACACCCCGGCCACTCGCCACCTGTAGCTCTACCTCTTCTTGGCTTCCACGGTGTCCTAGGCCTGCCGCTGTCTTACCCCTAACCTGCCGTCCGTCCGTAAAGGTCCTCGGCTCAATGTGCCATCTACCGGGGTCGCCAGCCCAGCCCTTCTGCCTCGGCTCCTTCCTTAATCCGGCTGCTGGTTTCTCCACTGGCTCTGCTGCTCAGGATGCCACCGGTTCCTTCCCCAGCTCTGCTGCCTGGAATGCGGCCGGTTCCCTCGCTGGCCCTTCTGCCTGCAACACAGCCGGTTCCTCCACTGGCTCTGCTGCTCAGGATGCCACCGGTTCCTTCCCCAGCTCTGCTGCCTGCAACACAGCCAGTTGCCTCACTGGCTCTGCTGCTCAGGATGCCGCCGGTTCCTTCCCCGGCTCTGCTGCCTGCAACACAGTCAATTTCCTCCCTGGCTCTGCTGTTCCAGATGCCGCTGGTTCCTCCACCGGCTCTGCTGCCTACAATGCAGCCGGCTTCCTCACTGGCGCCGCCGACAGCATCGGAGCCGGTCCAACCACCAGCACTGCTGCCAGTTGTGTTGCCGGCTTTCTCGGAGCTCGTGCTGGCTCCGCCCCTTGCTCTCGCTGCAGCTGAGTGTGGCGGCTGATCTCCTCCATGCTGGAGCTCACTCCCCTGGTCTCTCCTCACCAGCCGCCCCGCTGCCTCGGCGGGGATGCTTTTTGTTTCTTCCGGGAGGTGTCCTCCGCCCCCACTGCTCTGCCGCAGCCGGATAAACGCCCAGCTGATCACCCGCACCGGCATCCTTGGTGTACGTGCCTCCCCCGGCTCTTCCAGCTCTGCGGGAGGTAAGTAGGACTCCTTGCTGCCCCGGGGTTCCTTCGGCGTCCCAGCTCCCCTGGGACACCCTTGCAGCCCATTCATCCAACCCAAACTGCCTTAGATTGATGGCTAGAATGTTGTGGGAGACCATGTTAAAAGACTTGCTAAAGTCAAGGTATATCATGTCCACTGCTCTCTTCTATGCATCCACAGAGCCAGTCATCTCATCATAGAAGGCAATCAGGTTGGTCAGGCATGACTTGCCCTTGATGATCCATGCTGACTGTTTCTAATCACCTTCCTCTTCTCCAAATGCTTAGAAATACATTCCTGGGGGACCTCTTCCATGATTTTTCCAGGAACTGAGTTGAGAATGATTGGTCTGTAGTTCCCTGAATCCTCCTTCTTCCCTTTCCTAAATATGAGCACTATATTTTCCCCTTCACAATCATTCAGGACTGCTCCCAATTTCCACAAGTTTTCAAAGATAATGGTGGCTCTGCAGTCACATCAGCCAACCCCCTCAGCATCCTCGGGTGTCATGTGTCTGGCCCCATGGACTTGTACATGTCCAGCTGTTCTAAATAGTCCCTAACCTGTTCTATTGCCACTTTGCTGCTCACCTCCTCCCCAAATTGTTCTTCCAGGTGTAGTAGTCTGGGAGCTGACCTTGTCTGTGAATATCAGCCTTTTTTGCATTGTCTCTCAGGCAGTTGCCTATTAGCCTTCTCTGATTTTCCTCTTGTTGCTGAAATAGTTGTACAAACCCTTCTAATTACTTTTCATGTCCCTTGCTAGCTGTAACTACCTTGACCTTTGGCCTTCTTGATTTCATCCCTGAATGCATGCGGAATACTCTTACACTTCTCCCTAATCATATGTGCAAATTTACACTTCTTGTAAGCTTCCTTTTTGTATTTTAGTTCATGGAAGAGTTCCCTGCTAAGCCAAGCTACTCTTCTGCCATACTGGTTAGTCTTCTTGCACATCACAATTATTCATTCCCATGCTTTCAGTAAGGTTTTTTTTTTAAATAAAATCAGCTCTCCTGGTCTCCTTTCCCTATCAGGCTGGCCTCCCAGGGGACCCTGCTCATTCATTCTCTGAGGAAGTCAACATCTTCTGCCTTATAAGGACTCTTATTCTGCTGCTCTTCTTCCTTTCTATCCTCAGGACCATTAATTCAATCATCTTGAAGTCACTGCTGCCCAAGCTGCAATCCACTAATACATTCCCCATCAATTGTTCCCTGTTTGCGGGCAGCAGGTCAAGAAGAGCACAGACCCTAGTTGGCTTCTACAACACTTGCACCAGGAAGTTGTCCCCAACACTCTCCAAAAACTTCCTGAATTTTCTGTGTACTGCTGTATTGTTCACCCAGCAGATGTCAGGGTGATTAAGAGCTAATTCTGAATATTCTTCTTAATGTTTTGTCCCAAATCCCAATCATGATACTCCAGTACCAGGGACTCTGGTTTCCTCCACACCCCAACCTTGTAAGATTGTTTTTTCTAGCCTAGGATTACTCACGTTCTTCTAAAATTTACAGTCAATTTGTACTGTTTGTTTAAAATCAGATTACGTATGTTTTATTTTCATAGAGTGCAGTACTCCTCAAATTTCTATTCTACCACCTCAGAGTAATACCTCTGCCTGACTTAACTGATAGCTATTTAAAATATCTGATGCATCAGACCAGCAATAATTTAGAAGCAGGGAGATTGACAGTGCACTGCTTTCTTCAGTGTCCGTGTCTATAGGTATCTTCTTAAAGATACAGTTACCCTCATGGGTTAATAAGTAAGTCTTTACCCTTCAGGTAGTTGAAGGTTGCTATTAAATCCCCAGCCAGTCTTCTCTTCTCCAGACTACACTATAGAGTGCTTCATGATGGGACTCATGCAAGAACACAGATGCCTCCCTCCCCCCGCCCCTCCCCGAACTTGCTTTCCCATGCTTTCTGCCTGCAGTTGACAGATGCCGGTGGCTGACAGATATAGTAGGGGGACGGGGGAATGCTCACCCATGCCCAGCAGCCCTGTCAGGCTCTATGGTGCTGCATCAACTCTTAGGGGGTCTGTGTGTACATCATGGGGTGCCCTATGATGGGGTTCATACAAGGACACAGATGCTTCTTTTGCCCTCCTCCATAGTGCTGCCTGCCTGCAGTTGACAGATGCCTGTGGCTGACAGATGATGTGGCAGGGGGAGGGGGGTGTACTTGCCCATGCCCAGAAGCTAATCAGGTGTGGCCCTGGGTGCTCAATTGAGCTTGGCAGTTCCCAGCAGGTACTCAAGAGTGCACCCAACCTGCTGACCAGTGCAGGAAGCCTGCTTGTCCTGCCACCAAAGACAGAATGTGTTTTTATATTCACTACCAATTAAACCAACGCCACTTACAGAAAACTGCATAACTTAGATCGATGCTATCTCAAGCTTGTTGAATGTCTGTACTTAGTTTAAATTATAGATTCATTTCCTTCTCTCTTTTTCTGGCCTGATGAACATTGAAACTATTCCACTTTGTAGCATTTAAAACAAGAAACACTGAGAGACATATTTTAATATCCTGGGGACTGTAGCCTTCATATGAAAGCCAGCAAATATGGTTTCAGATCCCCTCAGGCAGGGGAGAACATTTAAACCTAGTTGCATGCTGTAACAGGGAACCCTAGACCTGTTAACAGAAGGCAGGTCAGTCCCTTTAAAACCAGAACTTTCTGGGCACAGTGTGCTGGCAAGGTGGAGGTTAAAAGCTGAGCCTGGCCAGCTAGTCAGGTGACCAGAAGGGGGCAGGCCAGAACTATAGAAACCCTAGTCTGGGCGGTAGTAGGGGCCAGCAGCCAAAGGGGAAGGAGTATGTATAAGAGCTCCACAGAGAGCCTTGGTGAGCTGTCCAGCTGCTGCAGGAGGAGAGCTACTGAGGACTCTTGGAGAAGCAGTGGCAGCCTCAGAAGAAGGACCGTAGCAGACCATGGCGAGCCAAAGCACAAACCACTGAAAAAGTGTAAGCTGTCATGCTGCCTTCTTTAATTATTATATTTTTGTGGTGGTTATAGCCCATGGACATATTGTTTATAATTTTTGATTGATTAACACTGGTGGTTTGTGGATGAGGCTGTAGAAGGATTTGAGTTTCAACTTTGTTCCCAGATCAGTTCTAAAGCCCAGCTGCAATCAGGACATTCCTTCTACCTTGCCTGTGAAGCCTGAGCCAGTAGGTGTTTTCAGACTATGCCTACTATTACAGGCCCTGAACAAAAAGCAGCTAGATGAAGTGATAGAGTAAATTGGTGATTAGAGTGATTAGGGGTAGAAGAGGCCTCATTAGTGCCTTGCTTATATTCAGAAAAGGCTGAAGTGGCCTGGTGCACCTGGGGTGTGGCTGTGTGCTTTTGGGCTAAGACAGTGGAGGTTCAAGGCCACTGCCTAGCTTTGAACTTGTAGTCTCCGGGGTGTGAGGCTGGTTGACGGGCCTCTGAGCCAGAGAGGCTGGGCTTCAGATCAGTGGCAAAAAGGAGGGCCATGAGCCCCAAGGCCAAGGAACTAGAGCCTCAGAGTCAAACCCTATCTGGTGGGTTTAGATGGGGAGGCCTAGCTAGAGAAAGACAGGGGTCAAGGCCCGTGGTGGCTGAGAACCCCAACATACAAAATACAAAAGGCAGTCTCCTACTTACAAGAACATCTGTAAAATATTTCCATCAAGACGTGGCAGACAAGAAGAAAGCAGGGCACAACAAACATTAAGGGGATTTCAAGGGCATCCCTCATAGGTCGTGGTTAACAGGCAAAAAGATGGCGCTGGGGAGGGCAACCTGTTACACATGCATGGGCACTCTAATCACCAATTTACTCTGTCACTTCATCTAGCTGCTTTTTGTTCAGGGCCTATAATAGTAGGCATAGTCTGAAAACACCTACTGGCTCAGGCCTCACAGGCAAGGTAGAAGGAATGACCTGATTGCAGCTGGGCTTTAGAACTGATCTGGGCACAAAGTTGAAACTCAAATGCGTCTATGAATGCCCAGAAGCTTTCATTTTTAGGCCCATCATATTTTACCTGGGGGAAATTCAGTATTTAAGAATTTTACATGCTTTGATATTCAGACAGAATCAAAATGAGGTCTTTGAGAGTCTAAATTTTGGAGATATGCACCTACACTTAAGTTAACACGTGTGTTTTTTCCCTCTATTTACCTTTATGATTTGTCTCTTGCATATACTGGCATAGATTATTAGGAAACTGCAGCTGGCTCTGTAGACACCTGGATATGTGCTTTTTCTTTATTTCTTAGTTACATTTCAGATCACATGCCCACCATTAATTCTGATTAAGCAAGTAGATGAGAAAGATGCCACAATGTCAATGACATACAATATCAGCAACATGAAAAACAACAAATCACACTACATCACTTACATTATGGCATGTCTTGTTAACTTAAAATGCTGCAGTTTATATGAGAAGAAGCTACTGAAACTGGCATACATCATGCAGTGTTATCAGCAAAGTGACCAATTCCATCTATAACAAAACTCTTCTATAATGGACCTGTATAAAATGAGAATTGACTTTTAAATTTAAAAGTCAATGGCAAAGACTTATGGATGATCCTCTGGCCATTCATCTCTATTTCTCATATAAATAATAACAGCTTGACAGCAACCTAATGCATGCTACTTTTTTTTCTTTGTTATGGGTAGCAATAAGATTCTGATTCCTTGACCTACTGATAAAGCCACTGCTATAGCTTTTTTGTGCTGCAACATAATGCCTCTGACCCAGCAAAAAAATCAAATTGTTACAACATTAATTGTTTATGAGTTGTTTTTTTTTTGTTTGTTTTGGAGGGTGGGGGGTTGTTTTTTTTTATTATTATTATTCTTGTATATAAAACAGAACTGAAGATGTAGAATCATGCTTGTGATCTATGCAGGAATAACATTTCCCCATTCTTTATCACTCTTCCG